TTGTGGCATATTTTCAAAGTTGCTTCTTTTACTTTTGTTGAAGTTACAAAGAATTTTTTCTTTTATTCATATTAAATTCAATCTTAAACTTTCTCTTTTACTTATTTTACATATCCAATATTGTTTCTTACACTTATACTCCCTTCATCAATTCTATCAGACGTATTAAGTTCGGAGTTTTAGTTGAATCAACTGCATACTCTCGCAATCAATAAATGTATTAACACGCACGAACAAGAACAATAATAATTACTTTTATTTTACATGTTCTGGTTTCATTTCGAATATACATATGATAACAAAAATTAATTCAGAGAAGTATTGCGAAAGTCTAATCAGATGAATATGTATACGTTGTCGTTATTGTCTAATTTTGTCTTTGTTTTTATTGATTGATTCTTTGCTATGGTGACACAACTATGGAGGTAAAGTTCATGTTACAAGAAGAGAGAAGAACCAATTCTGATTACAGGGATTTTATAAGCAAAAACAAAGCGAAAATTTTTTGTAAGATTGAAGGATCACTTCTGTCCTCTCAGTTTGGACATCTTAACCCTAAAATTATCAAATGTATTTTCTTTCGAAAGTACAAACAAGTATTCGCAACATTTGTATTCATAATTGGCGATATTCACTCTAATTTCAAATATTTTCATATTTGCATCAAATACATTCATAAGGTTTACAAGTATAACTTAGTGACACCCTCACCCTCATACTGATTGCTGTGTTAAGCGTACCAATCATGTATGAGAATGTCACTTAACTGTTGACGGACGAACCCTGATCTTAAACAATCAAGATAAAAGAATAAATTTCAAAAAGTAACTTCTATATTAACTATAATGAATATCGAATGATGGTAAGATTGACAATTGAACATTATACATTGTGGTTTATGATCTTTTTAAATGCTGTTCTAAACTCATATTCTATATCAACAGAAAAAAAAAATAATGAAAATTTAATGATTATTTCATTACTGACTATATTATATATTTGAGACTTTCGATAAAGTTTTGTTACTTTTTTTTCTTAGAGAAGGTATTTGTTATGTATAATCAATGAAGACTACTCAAGATGTTGTATAACTGTGAGCGACCAAAAGAAGCTGATTAAAGACATCAAACAGAAGAAAATATCATTTATACTGATTGTATATTCCAAGTAGAAAATAATTTCAGCATATTTTGATCTAACATTATAAGCGATTTAAATTAACTTTTGACAAATATTCATTATTGTGTCAAAATTAAAAATTTATGCATATCATAAACTTTCGAAAAAAGATTAGACTATAGCGATTCATAATTATGCGCCCATTCATACTTTATATTCATAAGTACACTAGGCTGAGATTTCTCTCAATAATTCCAAAATAATCCCAATTAATATCTAATAATTAATTTTTGTATTAGTTTTCGTTTTCTTATTTATTCATTTCATTTGTAAGTTTTCTTTGACTTTTAAAATAAAATTCATTTTAATTAATTGATCATAGTAAATAAATACCTCGTGTAGGTTGACAAGCATATTTATTCATTCAAGAAACTATTAAATTTTGTCTGATCAAACATCAATCTAGTATGACAATCGTTAGATTTTATTACAATTTCACTCTTCAGAATCATTCGGTTGTTGGCAACTAACGATATCTTATCTTGACTTCAGAGGCAATGAGTCGTCCAAAATGAATTGATTGGGACAGTTTTTCATTCATATAGATGTAAATATCGATTTGTTCAATAAACTTGGTATTGCATGTCTTATTCACGGAAATGAAAAGCATATTCTTCTAAATTTTCATCTTTTAGATTTATTTACTGAATAAATTTTTAATTTCGTGTACAATTACTTGTTTCGACATTACATGGCTACTGCATTGAATTCTGTTCCACCAGAGACAGCTTCCCTACCTGTTCTCGATTCTAAAGGCGAATCACATCCATTTTCTTCACTCTACACAAGTACCAATGACAAAGAAAAAACTCTCATCATATTCATTCGACATTACTTTTGTGGTAGTTGCAAACAATACGTCAGTAGTTTATCGGAAGAAAATGGTTTGTCTCCTACAGAACTTGCCACTTTACAGAAACGTCTAGTCATTATCGGTTGTGGTCATTCAAATCTCATCGAACAGTATGCAAAAGATACGAACTGTCCTTTTCCGATTTACACAGATCCAACTCGAAAACTTCACGATGCTTTTGAGCTGCACCGAACGCTAAGTTTAGGAGAAAAAACCCCAAATTACATCAAGTCATCTTTTTTGTCTAATGTTGCCAAATCAGCTATGTCACAAATCGCCGCTGGATCAAACATGTTCAAAGGCGGTGACATTCATCAAGTGGGTGGCGAATATCTTATCAACACACAAGGAGAGATAGTGTGGGCACACAAAATGGAAAATACAAGAGATCATGTTGAAATTGATGAATTACGCAAGGTGTTATCTCAGAACTGAGATACACATCTAAGATAAACAGTTTATTTTATTTCTATGATTACTTTGATTATATAGAATCTTCTATCGGCTAATACTATCGATTGAAGAATTAAATGCAAAAAAAAATCAATTGATCGATGCCAATTATATCCTAGTTACTCTAGTCTCAATCCTATATATTCCTTGATAAATCCTTTTAGAATTTATCAGGATTCTGTCTCAAAGTCTACTAATTCCTATTTCCAGGACTTTTCAAGGCTATACAGGACCCCGTTTCTAATTAGAATCTTTATAGGAATAACATATACGATTCTATCAAGTTTCAGTTAGAAGATCCTAATTGAATCCTGTTTCGACTCGTGTCAAGATCTTGATATTTCGTGGTTACACATTTCTTTCCCAATATATACATAATAGAAAAAGAATTCTAAATAGAATGCAGATAAAAAAAAATATGACGACCATGACAAAGCTCGATGAGCCATTTTTTCGTGAGCTACTCGATGCTATTAAATAAATGCTATCAGAACTCTTGATTATATATCATCACACTATGCTTGATCATAGATTTTAAACACTTTCATAAAAGGAGATAACAATGCTCTATACAACTGCTTGCTTCATATATAATTCAATTATTTCAATTAAATTCATCATCAGATAATAAGCTGCGTTACATCAATAAGAAAATGTAAAAAAGTTTGATGTGACTAATTATTTTTTTTACACATCAATCGAAGTCTACCCAAGAGTAATCTGCAGTTGTTATCATCACACTTTCACAATTTATCATTATTCTACATTGATTTATCCAAACAAGCAATTGCAAAACATCAGAAATTTATGACACAAAACTACTAAAAACTCATTTAAACGAGAAAAATCCACTAAATCCACCATATATACAACATACATCCATATCTATCAAAATTAATCTGACTCTTTTTTTACAATACCGGTAGAACTCGTCTACGAAATTCTTTATTCTCTTGATGATTTAAATATTTAATGCTCGACAAAAAACGTTTGTACATGTATGAATGGCATTGTCAACAGCTACTATTGATATCAGATTAAATACTATTATATCTGAACAATGAACTTTCACCATCTTTAAGACATTATTCTTCTTTGTTTCTTGCGTTTTGTCTATTCTTTTAAATATTCTTCTTGAATTATGAATGTATAGAACGAAGGTAAGAAGGACGAACAGCATCACTTCGCAAAAAAAAAAAAGAAAAACGTCACAGAAATAGAAGAAATAATGCTATTATTATGACAATTCATGTGTTGACACCAGAAGAAAAATAAATCTAAGCTCGAAGAAGGAACAAGAACATTATCTGCAAATAAATCATTTTTTCGGGTGTAAGTTTTGTTCAAAACAGAATTTATCTATTTGCATATTTTATCAACTTAAAATTGTTTTCTCTTTATCTGACAGAAAAATCTATTAGTTCAGCTATATTTTCTCAGAATTGATGTGTCATTATAGTTTCTATATAAATTATTGAAACAAGTAATATCAGAGATACCGTAAAAACAAAATAGTAATCTTAGTTAGTTGATGATGAAAAAAAAATTTCTATTTTTTTTTGTAATTCTTCTTTACAATTAATTAATTTGTTTGTAAACTAGAAAAGTAGATGAAAATATCGGTGAATGTTTAATGAACTTCATTACGAATTAAACATGAGAAGGATTGTAAAATTATTTCATAAAGGAACTCATTTCTAATGAAAATGTACTGTCTTTTCATGCTTCCATACAGCCTTTGATCTTAATTGAGTATTGAGAACTATGAACAAGCGAACGATATAATTAACTTAAAGAAAGAAGCAATGAAACACACAGTTGTCTGAACTATTTGATAAATATATTGAGCCAAATTAATTCTACAATGATTTGTATCTTGCTCAGAATTTTGATTGTACACGAAAAGTTTTGATTAATCTCTTTTGAAAAGGCTAATTATTGAAAATATAAAGTAACTCGTCATAGGATTTATAGATGGCGCCATACATTAACACTTACAAAATTGATTTAGAAAGAAAATATTTAGTGTTACAATATTGTTTGATCAATATATTTTTCTTAAAAAATGTTTCTCTAACGAATATTCGAAGATACATAAAAAATGAATTTAATAGGCAGATTTTGTACCAGTAAAATTTATCGCAAGTGTCAAGTTGAAAGAAAAAAAATCAACAACAACAATATTATTAAGACCGACAAATAGGATTAGATATTTTAATCGTTTTCTTTTTTTCAGTTCTGCAATACCTTATCTAAGAACAAAAAAAACAAAACAAAACTCCTTCCTTTTAAATATACAGTAAAATAAATAACATATATTTATTCTCTCATCAATCGATGCATACACGAATCGAATTCGATCGTTCATTTATTTTCCTCATCATTGGACCGTGATTGTCAACTGAAGACATAAAATTTTTGTTAATAATCATCATGAAAAAGTCATTTGATAGGTTCCTATGTAATAAAGAATCTGTCTTCATATAGTTTTATTTCTAGATGATTAAACGTGTTCATGTCATCAACAACATCATCAACGTCACTACTTCTTTGTGTTTTAGTCAAATCTGCAAAAATACAATCTTTAGACAGTTAGTTTAGTTTTTATTTATCATATATGTACGAAATTATTTTTTGTTGTTTTATAATAGATGAATGTTATTCTTATGTTGTATTGAAAATTGATAATGTCAAATCAACAACAAGTGTTGTAAAAGGTCAACAACCTAATTGGGAACAAGAATTTTATTTGTAAATAATTATTTTTAATATTACATCTAAAATATTTACAATAGTCAATCATTTTACGATAAATATTCGAGAGTATCTTCTATTTAGTATTACAAATGTAAAAAAAAAAAAGTTTTAGCTTTATAATATATTCATAGGAAATGAATAATTTACTATTTCATTATCTATATGAATAATTTTTTCTGGTTAAATTCCATAGAAATTGAATGTTATTATACTTGTAGAATAAATGATTCAAGGTTGATATTAATTGTTTTATACAATGTAATAGATAAAAAAAAAAGAACAAAATGTTTTTTTCTTTTGATAAGAGATGTTCAGTTTTTTTCTATGATTTATTTTTAATAAGAATACGCGAAAAAAAAAAAGAAAATTATTATCAATATCAGACTGAATAGAATTTCTTTTTTCTCATAAACAACATCTGTTCTATGTATGAAAATATAGAGTTAGGACAATTAAACTAATGATATATTTTTTATTACGGAATAAGAAAATCATTATAATAATATCTGTATTCATTGAATTGCAAAGAATACAAAATAAATATACTTTTATGAAGTTGTCTTCTTAGAATTATACTTTATTTCTAATTTTATCATTCAAGATATTTATAACTAAGCAAAAAAAAAAAAAACGTTCGTTCATATTTGATCCAAAAATGAATCATTTAATAAAGCGTTTCAAATAATAGTTCGAATGTTTTCTTAACAAAAAAAAAAACTCTCATAAATAATCGTTTATTTATAGAAGATTGATTAGAAAATGATGTGTATTTCTTGCTTTTTAAATATTTAAATATCAAAGATAAATATTCCAAACATTCAATATTTGACCTATGGTTATTAAAACGTAGGAATACTCTCTTTAAAATAAATACCTTGAAGAACTTTATCATCTATAGAAAGAAATTCAATCATCAAGTCACATATTTTCCTAAGCATTTTAATATTATCGACCATATTTTTTTCTTAGTAAAAATATTAAATGAAACAAAAGTTTTCATTAAATTTTATTTCTTTTATATGTCGATGTAGAAACACTTTTGATAATTCAGTGAGACTTTTTTTATTATTTGTGATTTCTTCTATAAACATTATTTATAAAATATTTAAGTCATTTTTCATCTAAAACAAGAAAAAAAACAGCAGAGATTACAGTCTTGAAGTTTACTTTTTGTCTCTCGTTAAAGGATTTCGAATAATAAAGCAATTTCTACATGAATTCCTAAAATAGACATTGACTATTTGTTGTCGTCCTAAAACAAAAACATTACAGAGATAATTCATTGAAAAAAATCTATCAATGGCATTTTTAACAAATGAACTTCACTTGCTGAAGGATATTAAAATATTTGTCAAAATCGACACATTTTAGAGAAAAATTTTGTGTCATCTTCAACAGCTATGACTGGGTTTGATCATCATATATGTTTCGATAGTTAATCGTCTGAGATTTGTTATGCATATTCAATAGTTCGAATATAATGTTATTTTTACTATTAAATTAAATTTTTTCTAAATTCGACAATATCGAGTCTAAATCAATGAGATAATCTTTTTTTTGTTTTGTTTTTGAAAAAGAAATTCAATAAACAAGAACATTCAATTCTTATTAAGTATGAAACATCAATCCATTCAATCGGATTTCTCTATTAGTGAACTTTGATATCCTAAAATATCAATCAACGAAATTGATACCTAGTTTTAAGTCAATATATCAGCTTAGAATCTTTTTAAAGATGGTTTTCACGATAGATTTATCGACTATCGTTGAAAAATCCATTAACTTTTTCGTGATGCTAAATACAGAATAGACGCATGAAATTGCACTCATTAAGATTAGTATAGATTTGAAAATTATAACTAAAAATGAACAAACTGGTTTTGAAAGAAAAAAAGACATCTTAAACTGTCGCTTGACTTCAAAAAAAAAATGTTTTTTTTTTTCTATATATTGAACCTAATCTTGTTATGAAAAAAGTTTCTGTCTTTGAAATATAATATTTTGAAAAAAAAAAAATTTTTTTTCATATTACTAAAAATATGAATTTGTTTGACAAGAAAAACATAATACTAAGGCTCTTATCAATATGATTTCCTTTTTCTTTGCGTTTCTCAATGAGTGAAGAGAAAACAAAAAAAATAGTTTATTTTTAATATTTATCTTTTATTGTTTTTACCTAATGTTGAAAACAAATATCATTTGTAAATTAAAAATACTCGAAAAGATAAGTCAAAAAAACCAAAAATGTTCGATTCTTATTGAAGAAAATATCTCCTAATAACAGTGGTTGGAATAGTTCTTGAAAGAGACCACCTCCTTTCAACACTTCCGGAAATAGAGTGAAGATGAATTTCCTTTTATTTTATACTCGATCTGAGTAGAGACAAGGATAAGAACATTATTATTATTCTTAAAAAGAAAAACAGTAACTATAAGCTATGTAAATTATTAAAAATAAAAATTGAAAGAATTTTATTTTTATCTAAATAAATTTGTCTTAGTTTGATTGATTATGATTATTAGTGTTATAGACTTTTATATTAAACGAATATTATTCTATGTTATTTGTCATTCTACTTATATAAAGAAAGAAAAACAAAACAAACTTTTTAACTATTGTTTTTTTAAACATTCAAGTCTTCTATTTTCTATCGGTCATTAGAAATAAAAGCTTTAGAGGAAATATTTAAAGATATAACGATTTCTTCCGTTAATTTTGTAAAGAATTTTTTGTTGAAAAAAAAAAGAATGTTTTTTTTTTTCTCTATATTTGAATAGATATAAAACGAAAAATCATCTTATTTTTTTTTCTTATATATTAAAGTGACGTACCCGATCGTTCAACAGGTCTTCAAATCGAATTATGGGAACGTGGTCAATTTCGGGATAAATTACTTGGATTATGTCATATTGGTTTAGATCGTAATGATAATCAAGATATAACAAATATAAATGATGGTAATGAACGATGGATTATTCTTGATTCGGAATTAATTTTAAATCGTCAAGGACAAGTTGCTCGAACATGTAATCCAACAAAACATTCAATTTTGATTCGTACTTATGTTGAATTACCATCGGATTTAACGGAAGAAGAATCAAGAGATTTAACTGAAAAACTTGAAATTCTTCGTGAAATTCTTGATAAAGAAGTAAATATAAGAAATTCTTTTTTTTTTTCCTCTTTTTTATTATATTTTTGTTTCTGCTCTATTGCATTTTATTGATCTTGTCTCTCTCGAAACAATTTTTGACTTAGTATATATTTATCAAGCTGAAAATGTCGACGATTAATTACATAAATTAGTACCATCAGTAGACTCAAATAATAGATTATGACAAAAAAATAGAAAAAGAAAAAAAAAAAACGTCTAATCTTTAGAATAGTCATCGGTTTTTTTTCGCTTCCATTTAAACCGAGAACAGAAGAAGCAAGAAGAATCAAAAAAAAAAAAAAGCGAGAAGTAGATGAAAAACAAGAAGAATAAAGAAAAGTAATCACGTTATAGTGATGCACGCTATTGGATTGTATTTCTGTAATAATGCCTGAAAAAGTGACATTATATTGATTATCATGGAATGCTCAAACGAGTCAAATGTTTCTGTATCAATCTCTTGAGACTCGTATTTTTTTCTATTTTATGACACAAAACAACAAAATACATAAATAAGGTATATATTTCTCGCTCTCTCTCTCTTTTTTTTTTTTCTAGGGACGTCAATTGCAAGATGTTACACTTAATGAAATTAAATCACTTTCCACAATGTATCTTGATCAACAGGTTAGATTTTTAATGATTTCAATTACTGTATTTACTTCAAATAAAAAAAAAACAAAATAAAGTTTTGATTTTAACATAGTTTTATATATTTTAATATTTACATAATAGAAAAACAAATGATCACATCATTAATAATTCTATAACAATTAACATAGTTTTCTATATGAAAATAACGTTGATTTTTCTGAAGAACAAATAGAAGACAAATTTATCTAAGGTTAAGTTTTTTTTTCATTCAATGAAAAAACAATTAATTTTCAATTTTAATATAGTCAAATATAGCAGTATATGAAGTTAGTTTTATTGAGCTAAAAAAGAAATTTTCTTCCAAATATGAATAATAAGCTTCAAATAAATCTCTTTTGCGTTTTAATTAACAATGCAAAAAAAAAAAAAAGAAGAAAATCTTAAAGATACTCTATTTTTAGTCATAGTTAGTTTAGTTTACTAATGAGGAAAATGACACTTTTCAAGTGATAGAAATATATTTTTCATGAGATTTCCTCTTTACATAGGATCTTTTCTAATTTTGATTAAATAAAATATAATTCGCATATATGAATCAATGTTTGCTCTATATTTGAGTTCAACATAAAAATTCAAATGTTTAATATAAAATTATATCCAAAACAAAACAAAAAAGATCTAATTAATACAAAGATACATTTCAATATTTTAGTTACCATAGGTGTTTCCTTCTTGAAATAATAGATTCTTAACTAATCAACACGTTTTTTACAAAAATCTCAGCATGTCTAGTATTGTTAAGAGTCTCATTAGTCGAAATAGAAAAAATTATTTTAACTGAAACACTCGGTACATCATTATAATGATAAAACCTTAATGAAGAAAGTTTTGAATGAAATATCTAAGATCTTGTTTTGTTCTCGTATACTTGTCAAAGATAAAAAAGAAAAAAAAAACTGAATAAAATGTTTATAAATTGAGAATTGTTTGAGTGAAGAAATATAAAGAAAGTTAAAGTTTATTCTTAAAAGAAAAAGCAGAAAAGTGTTTTAAATATAGATCGCATTGTATAGTTTTGTCGTATTTATTCATGTTTGTTAAATATTAACAAAGACATGACCTTGAAAAATAAATTTCAATATCTCTTACTAAAATTATATTACAGATCGTTTATTTCTAATAAATTTTATTAGAAAAATATCAGAATAGTTCCAATTAAAATAAAAATTAAAAAAAAAAAAAGTGCGTTTTTTCTTTCATAATCAATATTATCTGACATTTGTCAGATAAAAAAATGAGATTAATTACTTCTAATGACAAGTCAATACAATTTTTTCAACTTGTTCTTTCTTAAATAGCAGGTAAATATGTCGAATTTTCATTTATACGAATTAATTTCCAAAGTACTAATTAAAAGCTATTAAATATTATGCAAAATTTTCTTTCGTTTTTTTTTTTTTTTGTATTTTAAAAATTATTTATAAACGGTTTTTGTTTTACATTTTTAAATTTTAATTAAATATTGTTCGGTTCCCTTTGGTTTTTTTTTGTTGTGTGGACATATACTAAAATAAAGATCTATGAAAATATCATGCATCATTTAGCCGACTTAGTAACAAAAATAGTTTAAAAATTCAAGCTATTTAAGCAAGAAATCATCTATAACAATATTCTTAGGGATAAAAGCTATTTACATAATCCCTGCGGAATTAAAATGTGAAAGATGATGTTTCTACTCTTGCAAATCAAAAGCAGATTATTCTATTTTAGGATACATTTCTTTAATCCTTTTACTTAATACTCTACACATATAATAAGCAAATAGTTCACATGTTACTAACAATCTTTGATTGTTTATCAATAACATCCATTACGATCGGTACGGAAACGGATGTCTAAATTTTGACCACTATACTTCAACATTGCTATTAGACCATTTTTTTTTTTACAAAAAAAAAAAAGAATCGAAATTGTTTGTCTTCGTCAAAGTTGATAGAGTTTGAAGAGTACTTTCGAAAATTGTCCATAGTAATAATTAAAAGTTCAATAGACTCATCTGTCATAAAAACAACAAATTAGTCGATTAAGTTCAATCAATAATTAAGTTATACGAAAAAAACTTTTAGGACATTCGAATTTTCATCTTAGTTTTAAAATTGCAAATATCATTGAGATTCTTGAAAAGAAAATTCTTTACAATATAAGAAATTTTTATTCAATACACGAAGATTTATTTGTTGTTTAATTCATATAGATTAAGAGTCTTAGCTATTATAAATATAATATGTAGATAAATATCATCAACAAGCAATCATGTCATCAATGATAAATATTGATCATGATTACAAATATAAAAAATAAACTTATGAGAGAGGGGCATTAACTGATCAATCGCTTTTGCGTTGAGACTATGTGTGTATATGTAGGTATAAATGAGCGAAAAAATGATTTTCGAATTTCAACCTAAAACTTTACACAGAAACAGATCTTACTGAACAATAGTATTTTGTGAAAGTTTCAGACCTTTTTCGCTGTTCCTATCTCAAGTTGCAACTATGATAACTTCATTCAGATACACCAAATGATTTGATGTTCTTGTTTCAGGATAGAAATAAATCAAAACATCAGAAAATACAATGCTCAGTAAGATCTGTTTCTGTTTAAAGTTTCAGGTCGAAATTCGACAAGCATTTTTTTCTGATGTTTCTAAGGAGGACCATGGCATTCATTTAAAAGCTCACTGTAAAAGTGAAGTATCTCCGTAATATATGAGCAAGTGGCCCAAACTTTTTTCACGTTATTCCTAACTTATTTATACCAACATAAGGCACATAGTCTCAAATGAAAAGCGATCATTTCTCGTTAGTTATTTTGAAAAATGATCTATAATTCGATTTAAAATTTATATTAGAAATAAACATCTATGAAGTTTTATTTTAGTTATTTTGATAAATATTTTCTAAGAATTTTTAGTATGTTTTGTTATATATTTAATTGAATAATATTCTTTAAATAAGAATTTCAATTTAATTGAAAATTTCTCTATGAACAGATAGAATCTAATCGTTTCCTAATATCTATATTAGTTTCTTAGTGATCTCAATTCAAAAGTAATATTATCAAATATAATAACCTATGAAAGAAATTTCAAAGGATTAGTTTTTTTTTGCTTAAAATATCTTTGAAAACTGAAAATTCATCATTTTTATGTATTCCGTTTTTTTGAAATTTTTATCATAAGAATTTATTTACGAAAAATAAAATCTTACGTTTGATATAATCATTTTGTTTTTTTATTTTTTAAGAAATACAAATAAAAAATAGCTAAGACTAGAATATAATACTAGTTTTAAAATGTAAATTATTTTTGTAAGAGAATAAAGTATTTAAGATTTTTTTCAAAAAGAAGTATAGTATGAATGTTAATCAATTGATCTTTCAATTGAAGAAAAATAAGAGTTTTCTGAATATGTCTACGTATGTCCTTTACGATACTTTACAGAAAGTTAGTTATTATCATAAAAACTTTCTAAAAAGAAATTAATGTAAATTTTGCTGTTAGAAATAAAAGCTCTAAGTATTCTTCGATAAATGAACAAAAGAATATATATATATTGTTTTCGTTGAATAAAACAAAACATGTTAACTAACTTTTGTCGTCTTTGGGCTAAATAATTGTTATGTATCAAAATAAACGGATGTAAAATTAAAAGATTTTTATTAGGTTGTACAAATACATTAAAATATTAGATTTTATCTAAAATTAAAATTTAATATAGATTATATATATAACACATTATAAAAGAAACAAAAAAATCTTTTTGTTTTTTCTTAATAGCCTCTTCAATATCAACAAGTAACTAATCATTCTCACTCACATTGTAAGTATTTATTTATAACAAGTAAAACAAAAAAAACATAATTCTTTTTTTTTCTCTTATTTTAAAGTTTCAGACGATAGTGATTACACATCAGATGTATCTTATCCGATAAATACTCAAGCTAATTTAAATTATCCAGTATCATCTATGTCACAATCGAATGTAGTACCATTAACAAATGAAAATATATCTTCATCAACATCAACTAAAAAACCATTAGCATTTGTTCAACCACTTATTAGAGATTTACATTCAGTACCAAACACATCTCGAAAATCAAATCAAAATCAAATACTAAATAGAACTTCATTCATAGAACAAGAACCACTTTCATATATTAGTCAACCGAGAAAATTACCTATCAATAACATGACAGATCTAAATCAAAATGAAAAGTAAGAAACAAAAAAAAAACGTATATATCATTATTTATTGTTGTCTCGTCTGTGTATTATATAAATAGAAATATGATAAATACTATTCATTCAGGTAATAATTGTTGCTGCTAATGCTGCATGCAACTATCACGGAAAAAAAAAATGAGACATCTGCATTTAATTCACATGTCTAACATTTATTGTTTTTGGAGAAAACAGAATAAGATTAATATGCACATTGATTTTATTTTTTTTTTTGCATGGTATATGTGTGTTTCTTTTTATTTGTCATGTTTTGAAAAACATAGCTAACAATTCTTTTTTTTTCGCATTGAATGATTTTATTTGTGAGAAAAAGAATTAATGTTGAAAGCAAAGTTGTTATTCTATGATAAATGATGAATATGAAATAACTAATTGAATTGTGTCAAGTACGGCTTGAAAGAGAAAGACGATACTTATAGTATTATTTTGTCGCTAACAGAGATAAACATTCCAAGTTACAAACAATTCATCTATCCAAGAGGGAATTATAAAATTCAACATTCTTGTTTATTAACAAATGAGAAAAATTTATTACTGTCAAAAACACCTGCTAACTAGATTAGATAATTAGCATAGAAATTTATTTCACTTTTTTTCTTTTTTTATGATTTATGTTTTTCTTCTCTTTTCTATCTATGTTTTGTTTTTTCTTTACACATGTCAATGTAATAATGCATTAAGTTTTGTTCTTTTTATTTGTGTTCATCTGCCCCTGTTAACATTGACAATTGAGTATGATTTGATAGTGAAATAGAATGTCTAGAACTATAATCATCACGTAGAGATGGATGAGAATGAATTTCTCGTTTTTACCATTATTGCAGATTTGCTTTTCTGCATAGACAAACATTTTTATTTGCTTGTTCGACATATAGATGAATCTTCTCTGCACACAATATACACATATATATATATATATATGTAATAAAACGAGGAAAAAAAAACTAAGGTGAAGGTTCTCTCGATATTGCTGAAAACGAATATTTTCTCGGTTTTTTTATTCCAAGTTGTAAAACAATAATTGAGAAATGTTTCCGTTTTCTATCTATGAACACCTTCTAGACTCTGATTACTTCGATCGATCAATCAAATAATATCAAGAGAGAAAAAATGCCATTTCATTATCCGGATTTTCTTTATCTATGCATAGAGAGAGAGAGCGACAGAGAAGACTATTTGAATGATAGTCAAAAAACCGGTTATATCAACGCAATTGAGACGATGTACTTTCCCTTTCTCTCTATCTCTCTATCTGTCTATCAATCTATTGCATTTGAATGGAATAGCAAAAACAAAAGAAAAAAAGCAAAAGAAAGGAAAATGGAAGAAAGCGAAAAGAAAAAGACTTAAGAAATGCAACTCGTCGAACTGCTAAGTAAAGAAAGAAAAGAGAGAAGACAAGAGAACGAAGAAAAATCAATGTCGTTTTTTCTAATTTATTAATGAGCAAATACACATTCTCGCATTCTCACCCTCCTCCTCCTCCTCTTCCTTGCTACTGCCTGGAGGACAGAGGACCGGATACAGGACGATGATGACGAGAACGCGCCGACGAATCGTGCGAAGAAAATCTCTGCTGTTTTTTGTATGTGTATTACTGACATAGAATAACGAAGACACAGCTTGTTAGTGGTGCTTCTCGTTCTCGTTCTCGTTCTTGTTCACCATCATGTTCGGTTGGTTGCGTGATGTACTTTCCAATACTCCATCATCTTTCGGTTATCATCATTCAAATACACCTTCATCAGTTTTTCGTCAACAAAAACAAAAACAAAAAGAACGAATTTCTTCCGATGATGATGATAATATTAATCAATTAAATGATAATTCATTTTATCATAATCCATATCATTCAAGTGGACAAATGAATTATATCGATGTTCCACAACAACAATATACTAATGATCATACTTATCCAACTTATCTTGCACGACAACAATTATCTGATACAACAAATCAAACACTTGATGATCAAATTCACTCGAAATTATTATCACTAAAACAACGTTCAACTCAAGTTCAATGTTATGCACATAGACAAAATAATTATGCATTTAGAAATAGATCTATACCAACAACAGTTCCATCTTCAACACTTCATTCTTCATTAATTTCTAGTCGAAACGAACAAAGGAAAATTGATAATGAGGAGCGGTCTGATGACGATGAACAAGGAGAAGAAGAAGAAGAAGAAGATGATGATGATGATGATGTCGATGATGACAGTGATGATGGTGCTAATCATGATGGTGATAATAGAAGATCATCATCACTTGGAAATTATCATGGTATTCCGGGTTATTATTCTGGTCAATATCCAAATATTGATGAACAATTTGATTTTGCATCGGTTGTTTTTTGGTACAAAAATGTCATGCAATCCGTTAAAAAATTTCTGTGAGTGGAAAGAAAATCTCGTAATTTAATCATTAACTATATCGGAAAAGAAAAGAAAAGGCTAAAGGAAATGAAAAGAAATTTATAGAAGTGCATAAGTCAAGTAGTGACTAGAGATAAAAAAACAAGAAAAAAGAAAAGAACAATACTTTTATTATTTCCAACTTCAAGATACTTCTTAGGTTTTATCTTTTCTTCTATGTCACATAACTTCAACATTTGATTTATTTACTTTTGTTGACACAAAATACACATCATATGATAATTTTTGTCTTTCTTATTTCCATTAAATTTTCATAGATAATTCTAAAAGTTTGCTTGAATGATTTCTAAAAAGGAAAACAATTTATCATATTAACAAAAATGTTGTCTGAAATAAAAAAATTTAAACATTTCCTGTATTAAAATAAATGTTTTCCATTAGGATTTTTTTTTTGTTTTTTGTTCTTGAATAAAATGACAAAGAAATAATTGTTTGAAATAATTTTACATTGAAATATTACAAAAGAAAGAAATTCGAGTAAAATGAATAATAAAAACAATTACGAATTATTAATGAAATTATCTTTCAGTCTCACTATGTAAAAAACAGAAGAAAATTAATCGGATGATAGAACATATTTGTATATATATTTCTCATTTCTTTTTTTTTTTTTTTTTTTTTTTTTTTTGTTTCCGAAAGAAACAAATATTCTTTTCTTTTTTCTTGATATACATCAATTATAGTAATAGAGAATTTCTGTCATCTTTCTTAACAAGGTTCTAGTGGATTAATTTTGATTCCGGATATTATAACGAGACAAATGTTCTCAACTATCTTTTCATTACAGTCATTAAATTGATATGTCTTTTCAAGGCTTTAGTTTTTTTGTCTCTGAGAATTATTTTAAACAATCAATAAACAAAAAAATAGAAGGATACTTGAGAAGTAATTTAATATTTTCAATGATAATTGTCTAGTTTTTAAGATTATTATGATCTTTCAATTGTTTATATTCGTATAGTTATTTTATTATATCATAGAAAACGAAATTATTGATCAAGTAATGCGCAGAACTAACATATGCTTCTTTTTTTTTTCTCGAGTATTTTAAGTATCATTTATAATCACTGATTCTATTTTCTAAAGTATCATTCTATTTTATTTTATATTATATAATTTTATATGAATATTGCATGAAAAAATTTTTAATACATACATATATATTAATATTAATATTATAATCAAATAATTTAATAATCTTTTTTTTTGTGTTTGTTTTACTAACATCGTGTCAATTAAAACTCGAGAATATAAACTAATTCAAATAATATTTGCTTGCTTTTAAAATATAGTATATAAATAAAAATTAATTTTTTTTGTTTATTTTCTTTTAGTCCAAACAGTCATAATTATGTTCATTCTGAAAGAGATGAATATAATAATCATCATTATTCCATAAGTAGTAAAAGTCCAATAATATCAAAAATATCTAATGAAGAAAAACTTTTATCCAATGATGATGATAATAAACGACCACACATTCCATTATCATCATCAAAAGCCAAATGGATTGACGCTGTACGAACAGTAACACAATTAAATCAAGTAAGACAAAAAAAAAAAAAAAAGAATCAAATGTTAATTAGACATATGTGCATTCATAGAGAAAATATTTTCATTATGCTAGATTAACGTCTATGACCTTAATTTAACTGAATTTTTTTTTCCTATTAACTTTTACCAGATTTTATATCACATATATTGTTCTTGTAACTATTGCAAATCTAATGTCGTTATATATTCTAAATATAAATTCTTTGATATAATTGTTTATTTAACATATAGTATTCTTAGTTTTATTTATTCAAATGGTACATAAGAGGTTTTATCGTAAAAAATTCAAATCTCATTAATTATTTTTTATTTAACATATAAATAAAATATTAATTTTCCTCAAAAGAAATGAGAATAAATCCTTTTCTCTATTAATATAACGTTAAAAGTAAAAAAAAGACATATCATTAGTCTAGAAAAAAGAAAAATCAATAAGGATTTTTCCTATTCACATATGTTAGTTTTCTGGTTCATATAAAAAAATTCTTGATGCAAAGAAGGATGCTCACAGCTGTGTATATATATTCATGTTGTTTAAGTATAATATAGTATACGATTATGTTGAGTTTTTCGTCTCGTTCTAGAACTTCAATGAATTTTTTCTTCTTTGTAACAGCTGCTGCTTTGATTTTCTATAATGAAAACAATAAGAGAGAAGAAAATATTGTTTTTTTTTTTTTCTGTTTATCATTCGATGAAGTATATACTCGAAATAGTACTCTTACAAATAAATAAATAAATCCATACAAGGAAAGAATGTATTCAAATCTTAATTCTGTTATAATATTTGATCGAGATCGTTCATTAGAAACAACATCAGATGTTGGAGAATATTTATATGATAATGATTTAGAATGGGATCAATCAGATTTGATTTATCATTTACCAGAGTCTGATGTATTATCATCATATGATATTAATGAAATTGCTGAAATATTACATAATCATTATCTTGAGTTTAATATATCATCACAAATAGATGAATGTTCAACACCTATTTGTCAATCAACAATAAATGATATTATTATTCCTATAAAATCAAATAATGATTCAATAATAAGACATCGATTGTATCGAAGTTTATCTAATTTAAATTTAATAAAACAACAAAAAACATATTTTATTTTATCAAAACATTTATCATTAATGAATATTAAATCAATTGAATGTCAATTTTTAAAACATTCAACATCATGTAAAACTATTTTAACAAAAGAAAATAATCGTCAATCATTTCTTTCTATACCTCAATCAATTGAATTTCAATCAGAACCAAAATTAATTAATACAATAACAAATATCAACATTTCATCTTTATCACAATTCGAATTAATTCATTCATATTTAACTCAATTGAAAAATAAAGTTTATTCATTTACTTTACAAATATTTCAATCAACAAAAATACCTCTTATTACAACAGAAGAAATTATTCAAACTTATGACATTATTGAAGAATAAATTTACATAAATAGTTTTCGTTTTATCATCATTCAATACTAAGAAAAAATTTCATCAATATAATAAATAGATCATATTAAAAAGTATTCGATTTAAATCAATGAATTCGAAATTTAAAGAAAAGAGTCAAAAACTTAATTACAAAAGTACTTTGAAAGATTTTTATACTTTTTATCACATTTAGGAAATCTATTATGTAGAAAATATTCTGGTTTTTTTTTTTCATCAACAAGTAACGAATAATTGTTATGACAAAGTGCAAACTCATAATATGTACTTCATTATTATTACAGATTTAATCGAAATGATCTTTGTACTGTATAATATGAGAATTTGAATGTATTTTACTAATGGCAATAAACTAATTAATTGAAATTATTTTTTGTTTCTGAATTAGGATTAATGAAAAATCTTGTTTTTTTTTTACTCTTTGTTAATTTTTATTACTGTTTAACCTAGATGATAAATATGTAAGAGAAAACTTTGCGCTAATTATTTTCTACTACTCTGAATATTATCGAGATGATCAATCGTTTAGAAATAGAGATAAGTATAAAAATAGACAGGTCTTTTCTTTTTGTCCTTGTAACGTTTGATGAAAGTGATAGTTCCAATTAATATGAAGAAACTCAAGATAGACTTTATCCTTGTTGTTTTTGTCAAGTCTCTTGATTATTATTCTAGATTGATTGCATATAGTTATCTTTCATAGAAAAAAAAAACAGGAAACATTCAAAACTTTAGAAAAAAAAAAAATATATTTTTCTGTGATTAAATCTATTTGAAAAATTAGCTATATTTCTTTAAATAATGAATTAGAATGGCGTAGAATATATTTTCTTTTGTTCATTTCAATTACTCATATAAAAATAGTCAGATAAATAATATAAAAACATAATATTATAATGAATTGATTTTCCCTAAAGAAAACTAAATATGTCAAATAAAAAAAGATGATTCTTTTAGTAAATTAAGTCACATAGGAACAAAAAGAATGTTGATTATTATTCATATTCTTTTTCTATTTCGTTTAATACCTTTCTTGCTTTCTCTCAGTTGTTATCTATCGACATTGACAATTATTCCTACTGTTGCTTTACTCATTTAATAGGCTAAGTGTGTTTTTATCTGGTCCATCAATGTTTCTCTTTTTCTCGGTTATTTTCTTAGCTATGTTTTGTCGTCCTAGTAGCCATAGAAAGTTATTGCGTGACATTATGCCCAACAAGAAGAATGAAAGAAAAGAGAAAAACAACAAGTTCTACATTAGTATTTCTCTTTCTCATTTCTTCTTCTTCGTTTTTTTTTGTTCCTTTGTCTTTCTTCTATGTTTTATGAAAGAGACAAAAAAAAAGAAGATGGTACTGTCTTCAGGATGATACCGTAAGCGAATATGCATCATCCTAATAAAACTAGATGAGAAAATGTATTATATCCATGGTGTACCGGTTTGTCCACCATTATGTCCTCCTTTATCACATACCGATTTAGTTTCTTCATCTGAAGAAAATCTTAATCATCGATCAAATTTTTCAACAAATGAAAAATTAAGTACATATGCCAAACAATTTAGTCGTCATTTTGTTTTTCCATTTTCTCGAAAAGAAAATTTTGATGATGAAACAAATATTGATGAAGAATTCGATGAAATATCTTTATCAGACAATTATTGTGTGAGTTTTTTTTGTAGAATATAATTTATCATTATAGTAAAGATGATTAAATCTGTTTTTAATATAAGAAAATAAAAAGAAACATATTATCTTCTTTTTTTTTTTATTTTCATAGAATTCTCATGGTAAAGCAGAAAATCTTAATGATGAAAGAACGAATACAAGACAAAGTTTAACATTAGTTGGTACTGATGGGTTACCGATCACGAAAAGAATTCTTCCAGGCATAACTAATATTACAAATAATCATAATAACAAAATAACTGATGATGGAATGGGAAAAACGACAAATGGGGGAATTAACAATGGAAAGTATGTTCTATGATTTGACTTTTTATATCAAAAATCATGATAAATAAATGATTAATCCTACAGTTTTGCCTGAAAATGTGATAGATTAATCAATAATCCAATAAGTTAGAAAAAAAAAAGGAAGTTTTTCTAATTTTAGAATATCGAAAGAGAAAAATTAATAATTTATTTTTCTTGAACATCGAATTTTTTCAATTAATTAATATTCAAGAATTTTTTTTTTTTTTTAAAAATATTTCATATTGAATAAGTCAAAAAATCAATTTGAAATAGAATATATCTTTTTCTAATATCTTAATAATTATAACTGATGTATCTATTATGTAATAATTATCAAAGTGTTCTATGATCATTTTATTTAATATGTATATATAAAAGAAAAATTCCTATAATATTATGTTGATTAGATAATATAACATATGTTACTTAGCTTCTGCTTGTTCTTATAATAAATAAAACATATTTTTTTAAAATTTAAGAGAAACAAAAAAAAACATAGATCATCAATATTTTCTATATGAACTATTTCATTTTTTTTCTAATAAAATCCAATGAAGTAAATAATTGAATTTTAAATTCACATATTTGTAGTAAGATAATAAGATATTCTATAGAAAACATCGAACTAATAACAAAAACGTCATTCTGTAAGACGAACTCTAATAATTGTTGAAAGTTGACAATTAATTATGATAAAAGATTACGACATGTTTGTCGTTTTATTTATCTGATGTTTAGCTATCTGGAATGGCTTGTTTATAATATATATTGTATGTTTAATGGGATTTTCAGATAACTGTTCTGAAAAAATTAATCGCTAATTTTTTTTTTGTTTCTTGTTAGTTATTCTTTGTTCCATATGATAAGATGCCGCTTTAATAGAATTCATTCAGTCATATTAAATTAATGAGAAACAAATATGTCCGTTTAGTACTATTCCATTAGAAAATGATGTTGAAACAAACCTTTTTGTTTTTGTTTAATTTAAATTTAATATTATTTAATCTATTCTTATATGTTTAATCTAATAAATAAATAAATATTAAAATATTAAAATTTTTCTTTTGTTTTTATTATGATTAATTTATTCAATGATATATAAAATGTTTTTTTTTTGTTGTCTAATTAATGTCGAACAAGAAATCTGATATATTTCTTTCATATGACATTATAACCTTATATAACATATGACAAGTTGTTTAATATGTCAATCATAAGACTTGTTCGAACAAATTCAATTAAATAGGATTTATTTGCTAATTAATCAAATAAACTGTCAGATTTTGAACTAAATTTAATCTTAATTTAATATTGAATAAGATCAATTTAAACATTATGTAAAATGATAAATAGAATACTTTAAATAAGTCTTAGTTTATTTATTGAAAATGTTTTTTTTTTTTTTCGAGAAAAGATATGATTAATTTTTGTTTTCTTTATTCTATTTAATCAAAGATCAAATAATAAAATAGGAAGTCATAGACTTTTGTTCAATCAGAAAAAGATTCGTCTTTGAGAGAAAAATAGTTACTTACCGAACTTTCTTTTTTCTCGATCGATCAATGATTATTTACTTTACAACAAAACAAAAGAGAAAGAGAGAAAAGAATGCATAATAGTTATGAATTGTCATATGAATGTTTTCTATTTAACATACTTTTTTATTATCATTATTAATTAACAATGTCTAATGATAATGATAATGATATAAATGATAATCATTATGAATTTATGCGTCGTTATACACAAGAATATTTACAACAATTATTTATATTTAATGAAAGAAAATCATTGAGAAGTCGACGATACTCACAATTTCCTTTATACTTAGACGATTGGTTGGATATTTTCTTTAAAAAAAAACAAATCATCTAATAAATGGTTATAAAATTTTTTTTTTCTGTTTATTTTCTTGTTTCAGTAATGTATCCGGTGATCAACAAGTAAATAATGCATTTTATAATTGTATTGATAGTGCACCGGATATACCTGAACGAGGAAAAACTGTTCCATTGGGTCTTGATATGGTATTAATTAAATAAAATAAAAAATTTTCTTATCCTTGTGTATGTGTATTTATTCTTAAAGGGTTTATCACTTAGTAAACGATCAGCTGGAGTTCCAAGTGCTATTGGAAGACATAATTTAAATGATGAAGAACTTGTAAATAAATTTAAATTAATAATTAATTTCTTTATTTGTGTTTTATGTTTTGTTTTAATATATAATTTTAGCGTACACATGTATATAAAAAAACTCTTCAAGCATTAATCTATCCAATATCATTAACAACTCCTCATGATTTTGAATTTTGTTCATTTACACATCCAACATATTGTTATGAATGTGAAGGTCTCCTATGGGGTATTGCAAGACAAGGTTTAAAATGTCGAGAATGTGGTGTTAAATGCCATGAAAAATGTAAAGATCTTCTTAATGCTGATTGTCTTCAACGTAAGCAGTTTTTTTTATTCATTTAATCAAAAACTTATGTTATTATTATTGATTTTTGTTGTTGTATTACGAAAATTAAGCTTTTAATATAATTTTTTTCACATGTTCTTGTCTGTTTGACACATATTCGAGTGCATGTCATTGTTGTTTCAGTTTCATTAGTTTCCATGGTCTATCCGAATGATGATCCAGAAAAGACTTTCTACATGACCGTCGAGGAGCAACGTATGAATCAGTATAGAGTTAATAAAATATATGCTTTATTTAAATGAAACTTTAATTTATTATCAAAATGCTTTGAATCCTGCACGCTATTTACTTTGATTTAAGTCTCGATCATTTATAGTTTGCTTGTTTTTTTTCTTCACAGTGTGATTATCTCTTTGCAAATTATTGAATTTTCTTCCTCATATATTGATAATGATGATCAAGTTCAATATTTCGAAAACTTTTATTTTGATTTTGTATTTATATATAGGACGTGCACAGAAAAATGCCAAACATGGTGCCGATGACAAGGCAAAAAATTTAATGGAAGCAATGCATGAAAAAATGACACTCAGGGAAACGACACGACCTCTTTTATTTAAGACAATCAGGTAAATACTTTCTTTTTTTTTGTTTTTGTTTTATAGAAAAACTTTAATTAAATCTAAATTTAAATATAAAGGGATGTATTTAATGTTGATGAAAAATCTCATGTTGGTCATATGAAAGCTGTTAAACAGAGTGTACTTGATGGTACATCAAAATGGTCAGCTAAATTGGCAATAACTGGTAAATCATTATATAAACATATTCTTTTGTTTTGTTTTACTTATATTTTGAAAAAATTTGTTTTAGTGATAAGTGCTCAAGGTTTAATAGCTAAAGATAAATCTGGAACATCAGATCCATATGTAACTGTTCAAGTTGGAAAAGTTAAAAAACGTACAAAAACAGTTTATTCAGAATTAAATCCAACATGGAATGAAAAATTTTTCTTGTAATTTCAAATAAAAAAAAAAATGATTTATATTTAGAAAAGAAAAAAAGATATTTATTATTTTGTTTAGTGAATGTCATAATTCATGTGATCGAATTAAAGTTCGAGTATGGTAAGATTTATTTAATCATTTCTTTTTTTGTTTTATATAATCTATATTAAAAATAAAAATTATTTTAAATAGGGATGAAGATGATGATATTCGAGCAAAATTAATGCAAAAATTAACTCGTGAATCAGATGATTTTCTTGGACAAACAATAATTGAAGTTCGAACATTATCAGGTGAAATGGATGTTTGGTATAATTTAGAAAAACGAACAGATAAATCAGCTGTTTCTGGTGCTATTCGTCTTCATATTTCAGTTGAAATAAAAGGAGAAGAAAAAGTAGCTCCATATCATGCACAATATACTTGTTTACATGAAAATTTATTTTATACATTATGTGAAAATAATAATGGTCAACCTATTATTCCAGAAGCTAAAGGAGTAAGATTTTATTCTTTTCTTTTTTATTATTTTAAATAAAATAATTTTTTTTTTAAATAAAAGGATGATGCATGGAAAGTTTATTTTGATGAACCTTCTCAAGAAATAGTTAATGAATTTGCTATTCGTTATGGTATTGAATCAATTTATCAAGCTATGACGTAAATTTTTAGAAAACGTTTTTTTTTTTTTTTTTTGTTTGTCAAAGGAAAAACTTTTGTTTTGTTTTTCTATCAATAGTCATTTTGCTTGTTTATCAACAAAATATATGTGTCCCGGTGTTCCTGCTGTGATGAGTACACTTTTGGCTAATATAAATGCTTACTATGCACATACAACAGCAACGACTGCAGTATCAGCTGCAGATCAATTTGCTGCTTCCAATTTTGGAGTAAGTTTTCAAGTTGAATATAACACATTTCTTACTTATATATTTTTATTTAAAAAAAAAAACAAAGAATATTATTTCGTCTCAAGAAAAAATCAAAATAAAGGGATTTTAAATTAAAATTTTGCTCATAAATAACTGATATGCTATTTAGCAATGTCCTGAAGTTTTTCAGCAAAAACTGTTGTTTACTCTTGAAAATACGATATGTTGAACAGAAGCCGAATTTCATCAGTTTTTTGAAAAATGTTGCTGGTTTTTTTCTGCGTCCAATATTTTAATAATAAAGCATCCATTTTGACTGAACATTTCAGAACAATTTAAGGATCATATTAACTGATTAAGGGCGAAATTTTAGATCGAAATTCCTGTTTTTTCAAAGGTTTTTGGAAGGTTCAAGATTTCTACTAAAGGACGTTGTGTAACTCTAGAAGAAAAACAAGGTACTTCGTTATAGCTATAATATAAGCGTACTGAGGGTCAATCAACTCTATATTTATGGTTATCTTCCTTCTGTTGCAAGAAAAACCTCCTTGGGCTTTTAAGGGTTAACATAAAAATACTTAATGAAATTTCTCTGGAAAATCTAATTTGTATATTGAAATGTGAACGATTGCTGATCGTTCTTTCTTTTAGCTAAGAAGTAAAATCGAATCTAATAAGACTTAGTTGGAATAGAATATAAAATTAAATTA